CTTTGGCTTTATTGATACAATATCAGAAAGCACTCTGTTTTGCGGATATAATCGTGTGGGCTGAAGAAAGGATTATATCTTTTTTTCCGGTTTTTTTTCTTCCGGTTTTTTAAAAAAAATTTCATCCTTTTCTTTTTTTTCTTCTTTTTTTTTTCAAAACTGTTTTTTTATTCTTATTTTTTTTACTTATTATCCCCCCCCTTTTTTTTATATGTCTATAATTTTTCTTTGTTTTATTCATCATTTTGAACTTATCTAATGAGTTCTGTTTACTTGCAGCTTAAGCGCAATAAATGAAACTTATTGTTTTTCTTAACTTTCTTCGTGTTTTCTTGTATTTACTTATTTATTATATATATATATATTACAGTATAAGTATGCAACCAATTTTCAGCCCTGATTCTTGTGATGCAACATATTCAATCGTGAAAAAAACATTCATTCCAAATATTTTTATTATTAAGCTATATTCTCAGCAGTAACCTATTAAAATACAAACCATTTTAGTAAATAATGTCTAAGCTCGAAACAACTGATTAAAAATGCATGGAAGAAAGAAAGAGGAAGTCTAAATTGTGAACTCAAACTAAAGAATTCTCCATCCAAAACGATGTCAGCAACTGATATCCAGCCAGTCAGAATAATTAACGAATAGGATATGTTCATTACCCAGCGACTGAAATGGAATCACTCTTTGCGGAAAGGTGTGTCGAGATCGGATCATTACCAAGCGAATACAATTCACACATATGCAATGACGTTTAAAATGCCATTACAGTCCTCTGCTCATTACCATCTTTGGTACAACAGCTCTATCCTGGGCTACTGGTTTATTACCGTTACTAACGATAGGCCGATAACATTTGCAAGTGGTGGTACAAAAAAAAAAGGAATTTGAAACAAGATAAAATCGAAGTAACGCCAAGCATTCCGCTTGATTCCTTAATGATACTTGTAGTTTTAGAGTAGTCAACTTAATGCTCACGCACTTGAGGTTTACTGATGGTTTGAAAAATCATTATTGCGGTTTCATGGATTTATGCTAATTGTCAATATCCAAACTACTCTTTTTCGAAAAAGAAATTCTGGATGGGACGAGACTTTATTTTTCTTTTATCTTGATAGAGGTTATATTCGAAAGGTTAAAAGCTATTTTAGCTACATTTATTTCATTTTAAAAATACGTACTTGGAAAAGGGCAAAATGCTTCATAAATTATCATTTTGTAATTTCTTTTCTTCGTATTTTGAAGGTTATGCAGACTACATTCTAGAATTTATGCAACTGAAAATATTTGCTTTTAGATTAAATTTGTGGTATTAATTTAAATCATATTAGTCAAATATGTAATCCAAACATATTGCTGCCTTATACCATTTATAATGAGCTGAAGGACTTAAAAAATACATTTTGATACTTAATGTACATATATTTCACTATTTTAAAAAATAGTAAGGAACGACACTGCTTAAAAAAATTTACACTTAAAGGAAATTAATAAAAAGTGATGAAAGCCATTCCGTGCCTGAATTAGTCTCATCATGAAATAAAATTACTTGCTATTCATTTCTGCTTATTAAGTAACATAATCAGTATTGTTTAGATCTGATAGGGTTGGTAACAATAGCAGAGGGAGGAGTCTCTTAGAACAGATCAAAAATCACATTTATAATTTACCTGTGAGATACTTATGCAATTGCATAAAATTTGAAAATTAACTTTTTTCCACTAGTTTGAACAAATAATTCACTTTTTGTAAATAGTGTGTTTGAAATGAAAGTAAAACCAAAATGTCTAATTTCAACAAGATATAGCCACAAATTTAATAATATATGTAGAAAAAGTAGTTTGGCAAGAAAAGTTTAAACTAGTCAAACAATTAGTCTATTTGATCCCATTTTTAAAGATTAGCCTATTATATTTATAGAACTCCCGAACCACTTGGAAATGGGCCCAACACCCTACCAACCTACCCCGGTCCTTAAAAAAAAAAAAAAAAAAAAAAAACTTTATCTTACTATTACAGCAAGTAGTAATCATAGATCATAGTAAGTAAAAAGTGAAAGTTGTGTTTAATGACTTTACTATTCTCTGTTGGTTATAAGCATAACCCACCGATCAATACCTGCTGGAATAACAAAGAAGAGACATGGCACCCGCTGCTGTCCGACACTGTTGCGACCCCAACACTGAAGAGTACCAAAATCACTCTCTGATCGAGGAATGTAGTTAACCAAACTCTTCGTTCCAGAAGTATAAGTAGGTACAAGCTCTAAATTTCCAGTGGAACTGTTGAATTCCCATTTGAAAGCTACATCGTCTGGATCAGCTTCTACTTCGCAAGGTATTTGAACTGGATAGTGCAGCATAGCTCCATATGTTGTCTCCTGGTCCTTTTTACATACTGGTGAGTCTGTAATGAAGGATGATTATTCTAGGTGCAATTTTCAGGGAAAAAAAATTAGAAATAGAAGAATGATTTTTTAGAAGCAATTGTTTTTAGAAAAAAAAAGTGTTTTTATACGAGAGATATTTCCATACGTGATAATCATTGCCGCTTAGTTATATGAGTTGTTAGTAAAAATTTTAATATTACTAATATTACTTATATATTACAGAACTAACTAATTAGAAGCAGAGCAGAATTAGAAAATTTAAATTATATGAGTAAAAAAATTATCCGTAAAAATTACATGTAAAAGAATAAGTACACAAGTAATACATAGTAATTTAAACAGGGCGAATACTAACAATTATCCTATTTTTGTAACATAAGATAAATGAAATTACATCAACAAAAATTATTATTTTATGTTAAAATCTATATGCCATACACTTTATGCATACAGTTAAATTTTATTTTATTTTTTTACGTCATGAACATCCGTAATACAAACATTAGTATATTTTCCTTAGCGTCTTATTGTTATTGATAAAATGTGAGTTAATACCTTGATTTCCAGATTGACTTTAATGTTTTTGGTTAAATTTCTGAAATAAAGAGAAAAATATGAACAAATCTTACTTTTCATCGTCTTTTTTCTTTTCTGCGAAATATTTGAATTTTTGAAAATTGCATTCTCAGCATTTAAATAAATAAATAAACCAGAAATATAGAAACCTTTTAAAAATCTAAAAAGAATGGTATTTTTGCATAGTTAAATAAATATCAATTTTTTGCAGTGTAATGCTAAAATGTAAATGTAGTGCAGACCTAGGAAAAAAATTTTAACTTCTCCTTTTTAAATCATTTATTGATTGTTCTAAAAATGTGAATATTATTTTGTATAATATTATTTTGTATAAGTTAATAAATTTTAATTCACAATTTAAAGTTCAATAATTTAAAATTCAAGCAATTAATTCCAAATTTACTAAGTTGAACTTTTAGAAATTACTCGGAAAAAATGGTTAAATAACAATTTTGATGAGTTCATTTAATTGTAATTTTACTATATTCAAACAAAGCAGTCAAATAAACATAAGAAATCGGTAACTGTGAGAAAAACAGTTTAACGGCTTTCACCTAATACGGTTAAATTACCTGAATTTTATCGCACCAATTAGGCCCACCAAATGTGGCCACTTTGGTGGGCCTAGATACGCATTATAACAGAGAGGACTAATCTGTCAATCTCATGACCGACCGAATAGGGGTTCGAATCCCAGTGGAGTCACTGCAATATTTCTTACTATCTCTTCAACGCATTAAATGACCCTAGTGCATTGCACTCCCCAATTTTTGATCCTAGGCTATTAGATTACGATGCTCTCATTCATTCATAGATGGCAGCACCATACAGCAGTTAAACTCCAGCGTCCAGTTAAATTTCTTTTTTACGGTTTCAAAACCACTCTAGCAGTTTAAAAACTGTATAGTTAAGTGTTCATGGTATTTAAACCATACTTGTTGTAAGCGGTTTCAAAACCGTAAAGAGAAAAATGTTCTTTACCTTAAACTTTACGGTTAATCGGATGAACAGATTGCTGCCGGTTATTTTACCATAATTTTAGAATGAAATTCTAACAATGTGGGGACAATTTATTCAAATTTTANATTCAAGTTATAGGTTAATAGGTGATATATTCATTCCAAAAACTGATATTGTAGACATATTTATGCTGGACGCAAAGTTTTATAGGCCAAGAGACGTAATCAGTCAAATGTAAACAAAATTACTTATTCGAAGTAAACTGATCAAAAGGTCTCATGCAAGCCAAGTATGGCAAACAAATAAGAAAAAAAGTGTCGATTTCGCTTTTTTATGTATATTCCAGTATTTACTGCACTAAGCAAATGCTTTAAAAAAATTCGTAGAGGTTGCAGCAAATAGTACAGAAAAATAACGTTTTTTCCTTCTTTAAAGAACATGCCATTACATTTTACATTAGAAATCCCGTTATATTTTTGAATAAATATCTCTTGTTAAGAGACTTGGCAAATTTACAAACTTGTTAAATATGCATTGATATCGATTGAAATAAGAGAAAATTATTGATAAAATATTAATCAGGGATTTCTCATCACAAACTATATGCTGACATTAACCTTTTCGCGCAATTTTGACAGTGGGTGCAATTTTGGTTTTTTAAACTTCTGTTGGTTTTTCAATTTTAATTAAATAATTAATGAAATAACTACTTTTAATTATAATTATAATATTAATAATAATATTAATTAATAATAATATTAATTAATTATAATATTAATTNTAATTATAATTGTTATTGTTATAATATTAATTAATTATAATATTAATTAATATTAACAAAAATTAATTGATTAATTAAATAATTGGTCTGAAAAGATCATTGAAAACAGAAATCTGAAGTAATGAACGAAATTAGCACGCATTTCATTACAAATACACGTTAGGAGCAAATAAATTATTAAAATATAATCACCACTTAACAAATTAAATCATCTGCCATCGGTTGGCATTTTGAACAATAGTTAATCTTGAAAATTAAATTGTTTTTAAGAAACTCAATTAAAATTGAATTAGCTCTTTCTGAAAAATGAAATATAATCTTAATCAAAAAGAAAAATTATAAATCGCCTTCGAGCTGAAACTGTTACGAACGAATTACGCCGTCCAATTAAAAATGTATCTATTTTGAAGAAAGAACACTGTAACAGGAAATGAAAATCGAATCCTAAATGTTCCACAGCATTTAAATGAGAGTCATTTTCTCTGCCAAATGTTTGACACCAGGCAATATCAATGCTTGGCGGCACATTTTAAGCAATTGTTTGGCTCCGTTTAGTTTTCACAAGAAAAGAACACACTTCTTAAAATCGGAAGTTTAATATTACCTTCTTTTCCTGAAGTTTTGCCTTTTCGAAACAAATGAGTCGTTCTAAAATCATCAGGTTCTATTATTCTAGCTAATGAATGCCACCGCAGAGCATCTACCGAATACTTCCGGCCACGTTCCCTTCACTCCTCGTCAAACAATTTTCCTCAACTCCACCCCTTATATTTCTTTTCGTCTGAGTAAATTCCACCCTTTCCCTCTTTTACGCCCACACACTACTTGACGTAATAATTAAACTTTTAAAAATGGCAATTCTTCAGGGGTCTTTGTCTTTCGGCTGAGAACCCGTCTTCTCCAGATGCAGTACGCACCCATGGCTACACAAAAGGATGGAATAAGATCGAATGTATGAAAAGGGAGTCAAACAATGGAAAATTGGAACACAAATACTTGGCATGGGTGAGTTCGAATTCTTGCATCCGTGTTTGGATTCAAGAAGTAACGTTTTGAATTGTCCATCGTAGATTTCATGATGAATAATTTGGGTGGCAATGAATATTTGTATAAAGCAAACTGCTGAGAACGCCATACCAAAAGAGAAAAGTAATTACTTAATTCATTTTCCGGAAATTTTATGTAGTGATCTGTTAAATGCATTGTCTGCCATATGCTCATAGCTATTTAAAGCCTATAGTGATGCCCTTGCTCGCTAACCATAAGCGTTTCTTAAGGATTTAAAATCACTTAAAAACAATTGAAATTGTTAAATACATTTAATTATTAAATTCGGTCTATACTTTATTCATTTTTTCTACTAAAACAAACGAAAATTGCAAATTAAACAATTTCAATTAGAAAACAATAAGATATACACTCTATTCTATTAAAAACTTTAGTAGTTTTTAGTTTTTCTATGAAAACTAATCTCTCCTAGACTGGGGGCATCAACGCCCAATAAATTTGAATAATTATTTCAGTGATAAAGAAGAAGTTCCCACTTGGGAATATCATGGGACAATCAACTTTTAAAAATTGAAACATTCATAAACATTGAAAGTTGAAACTGTATTATCAGAAGGCTGTTTTCATATAATGAAGGGTTCCCACATAAATTCATGTATAGTTTCCCATTTTCCACAAAAAAGAGAGAAACATACAAATGAGAATAGGGAGTTTGCATACATAATCGTAATAAAATAAAGTTTCTTGTCGAAAAAAATATATTGGGATTGTTATATAGTTGTTTTTTCGAGGAAACACCCCTTTTTTGCTATAGTTACAGGATTATAAGAGCATGCGTTTTATATTTAGTGTGGGCATATTTATTTTATATTGTATATATTTTCGCAAAAATTTAAGATTACTTAAAATTTATTTTTTAAATGATTAATGATTCTCCACTTTTCTTTTACTTTTACAATTCTTCATATATTCACAGTAAAATTAATTGATCAGTTTACTTATCTCTGGTGCTTGGTTTGATACTACAATGAATTTTCTGCGTTAAGAGAAAGAAATGTTTGTAATATTTGTGTTTCTTAAGTAATTATTTTTCTATGGAATTCTCTTTCCATTGAATCTATTGTACTGGTTTTAGAAACTTTACTTTTGTTGTGCTCTATAACCAGAGCACATATTTCAACAATTGTTTCATAAATGAGTTCGAGACAAATTTGCTCACTGTTCTTTTGCCGGATATTTATTGAAATTTAAGCTTAAAAATATTAATGTATTTTCATTTTTTTTTAAAAAAATGTAACTTTATACTCCAATACTAAAAAAATAATATTTCATTTCAAATTTCAATTTTTTTCTCATATTAATTTTTACTGTTAACATCAGTAAGTGGATAAATAAATAAAAAAAATCTCTAAAATATGTACTTCCTAAACATCATGAAAATATTTCTATTAATTCCAAAAAGAAAAATGAGTATATTGTGAAAAAAATGATCACAGATAAAAAAAACATATATTTCAATCTACTTTCTCACCGAAAAGAAAAACTTAACAAAATCCTATTTTTGGATTAAATTCTGATAAAAAAATAATCTTTTCACATTTTCATGGAAAACTGCCTGCAATATATTTTTTTCGAAGAATAAAATTAATTCCTGTATTTACAAGATTTTCATGTTTCAACCCCCTTTAAATTCATTCGTCTTTGCAAAAATACATTACTTGAATTACTGACTTGAATGTCAAACTTCAAAATTTCAGAATTTAAAAGAAACTTGATTTAAATTGTTTTAGAAGAATATAATATTTAAGGAAAAGGTATTTGAAAATAAATGCAAGAGTTGTTTCTAAAACTAACTCATTGCTCACCATGAGGAAGTTTTAAAGTAAAACTGCACCATTCTTAACTATTAAATGCATTAGAGTATCTAATTTCTTAAGATTTAATTTCTTAAACTTAATAGTAGTTTTAAAGAACTTACATTGCACTCTTAAATATACATGATTGCTTTCTCCCATTCCTTCGCTGTTTGTGGCAGTGCAGCTATATCTCCCCCTGTTGGTTCGGTGAACTTTTTGAAGTACCAGAGATTGGTTGCTCACAATAACTCCAGCTGAAATATTTGTGACCAATTCACGGCCTTCAAATCGCCATCCAGTTTCTGAAACCCATGGATTTGCTCTGATATTACATTCGAAATAAACATCATTTCCTTCTAGAATATTTGAATGACGGAGCTTGCTTCCGAGTCTGAGATTAAGTTGAGGAACATCTGAAGAAAATAAAGTGAGATTATTTGGAAATAGGGTCAAAAGTAAACATACTAGATTAGGAATGATATTATTGACTGTAAAATAAGTTGAATCATTAGCATATATATGGGAATAGTTATTTATAATATGCATTTTTTTTAAAAAAAGGTATAGTACTCGTATATTTATTACACTGAGAAAAAGTTATATTCGAAACTACCAGGATATGGTACTGTAGTTAATTATTTTATTTTATAACCGTCAATGAACGGTTAATTGTGGGTTTACGACTACCAATGTTCAAACCCGTATACTTGTAATTTTGAACTCATTCCAGAAGACGAGGCAACTCCTGGATCAAGTGCTGGGAGAAATATTCTTTCGTGGAGTACTTTTTGATGAAACTAAACAGCAAATGCATTACATGGAGAGGAAAACCACGAAAATCTCATATGGTTAGCCTGATGGCAAAGGGACTCTAACCCATGATCCGTTTACCACTTAGGGTATTTTACGTCAGCACTGTGGTCTGTGCGAGTCACACGCGGAGTTCGTAACGACCAGTCATTGGTGGAATTCTTACTCGGTTCGCTTTATTGGAAGGTGAGCGCTCTATCCCCTGAGCCAAAATGGCTCATGGCAAACTATTTGCGTTTTAATTGGCGCAAGAGTCAGTAATGGCAGTATTTCTTCTTAAACGAAAGGAGAGAATATGGTAAAATTTTCCATTTTTATGGTTCTATGAGAACGCCAAAAATATTAGATTTTTACCAAAGCACTTTAAGCAATGATTTTGGTAAAATTAGCAATAAAAATATGGTTTTATAAAATGTGATATATTTTGATAAATATTTTAAAACTTGATCACTTGATCACGACCCCTTATAGCAAGACGCAGCAAATATTTATTTAGTAAAATTTACTTTTCAAATTTGTATTTTTTAATAAATGTGTGGCAATAAGAACTATAATTTTGGAAAACAGAATATTTATTATACAAACGGAAAAATTACCAAAGGAATATTTTAAGGACGGTATAATTTAGTCTTTTTAACCGGAATTTTTCTACCTGAAATATCATTATCAATCAATGCAGCAATTTTAACAGATTTGTTTTTCGCTGTGCACATTATTCAATTTTATTTTCGTATAATTGTATTTTTTAATTTTCAGTAATACATTATGTAAATCATTTCAGCCCTACAGAAAAATTTCGGATTTTTGTTACTTTCTTTTTTTTCCTCCTAGGTTGTAACAATTATATTAGTTACTTATGAATGGCAGAGAACAATATAATGATGAACCACACATTTTTCAAATTGTACAGGAAAATATATTTTGTGAAAAACAACTTTAAAGTATTCAATAAAATGTTTCAGTGTCTTGTGTTGCCATTTAGCGCCACTTAGTTTCTATTGGCTTCTGCCTCATAAATAACATATAGTACAATACAAATTTGAATGCATTTTTCAAAAACAAAGAATATCTTAATTGTATTACCAGCCTTTCATGCAGCAGAAACGTTTTGATGTTATTTTGTTACAGTTTGTATAACATTTTACGAAAAACAACGCTAATTTCTGTTATTTCATATAGTCTGCAGAAAAAAAACTGGATCCATACATTTAAGTAAGTAATACTAAAAAAAAATTGAAATAAAATGTCATCAGATGTTGGAATTAACAGAAATTGTTTAAAAGAATGTGAAAAAATGCTTTTGCGAAATAGAACTACTTGATATAATATCTTCCACACGAATAATAAAATAAATAGTTCGCGTGTCAGTCTGTTTATCTGTGCATCTCTATAGCTGATTTTGGGTAGAAAATAAGCTCTAAAAATATGAAATTCAACATGAAGCTAAATGAGTACAATTGTAAACAAATTGTCAAGCTCCAAAATTAATTTTCTTAATTATATTTTTAATTCAGAGACATTTAAAATATGGATTAGTAAAATCCTAGATTAGCCCACCTCTTGGCGAGATTTTAAAATCTCACCATGTCGGCCATTATTACTGGGATCAACGTTGATTTTACTCGTCCATTTACTCGCCATTTTCAACAGGTACAGCACAGAAAAATAAGGTAAAAATATACTTGAGGGTGCCCCTTGGCGAAATTGGCAACTTATGATTGGCGTCATTCCTGTTTGCGCGGAGCACCGTGGTAACAAGAATAGCTGCCAAAACATAATGGTATTTCCGCAAAACATTGGAAAAATTCAACAAAACATCTGCCAAATTTTATAAAATTGCAACGAACCCAATATAAGCAAAATTAATAAACCCAATAAAATGCATTTTGAATCGAAACAAAAATTAAGGGAGTAAGCACAGATAGAAAAGGGAACAAAACAACTCATTTCTTCATTAAGTTATCCTCAAATTTAGGTGCGCAGAATTCTCTAATAGCAGTTAGATACTGTCTAAATTTATCATGAATAGAATCTGTATACCTCCATCACCCCATAAATTCGGCGAAATACGAATCGAAAATCGCGTCTGTGATACTGGCGGTGACATTTTTTTCTAAAGTCCCTTTTTATAACTGCCCACATACCTTCGATCTTATTGACCAGAGGCAAAAGTAACTGCAGTATCCTCACTGCTGAGTCAAACTCGGGTCTAAACCTGTATAACCTTACCAGCCGGTATCCAACGTAGAACTAACGGACCTCTGAAATTACATATACCGTTGAACATTTTGAAACTGCTAAAATTCAAACCATTCAGAATTACGATTGGGTATCAACATCGCCCAGCTTGGCGCGCCAGCATCGCTCAACCGTGATCACAGCTTGGCGAGAATCAAGGGGCACCCTCAAATATAGTCTAACCAAAAATATTAAAAAGTGAAATAATAAGGGTAATAAATGAAATAACGCTCAAAAAATAATATAATAATGATGATTCTAACCGCAGGAGATCAGAATCATAAATGGCGAAAAAAATAGACCCTTTTACCTCTTTTCTAACGAAATCAAACTTCCTCGTAGGTATACCAATTGGTTATATATAAACAATATAGTCAATATATATAACCAATATATAGGTTATATATAACCAAATAACCATTCAGGTTTAATAATTTTGGTGGTGTCATTGGGCGTTTAAAATAATCCCTTCGAAGTATCTTCCGGAAACCTAGTTTGACGAGAGTTCAAAAACTTACATGGCGAGATTTTTAAAAAAAAATTACAACGGGGTGGGCTATTCTACGATCCTCCCAAATGCAATTTTTTCGTTAACTGAGTGGAAGCCATTGATTTAAAATTAAATGTAGATGACGCAGTTTTTTCAAATGTATCAAGAATAACATCAGTGATGTTTTCTAGCTTACATCTCAAATAAAAAAATTGTTTGTTGCACGTTTTGCAATACTTAGCTATTTTTAATTCATTTTGCCAGACTATCTGAATGATCAACGTATTCGTGCAGTATGGCGTCATCAAATGAATATCCCTAATATGTATATCACACGAAGATAATTATCGGCAACGAAACCGGCAAGTCAACCGTAAGCGCAAGTGTATCCTCCACTTATAACAAAAATTGTTCGAAAATCCTCGTGAGATATGGAAATCACAATTGCCCGAAATATCAGCAACTGTTTCTCTCCACTGAGAGATAAATTGCATAAATTAATAATAAGAGCAGCTCACACTTAACCAATCAAATCGTTTGCTTTTTATGACGTTTCAATTCTATGCGATGATGTTTACAAATGTAAATAAAAAAGACTGCCACATTGATGAAGAGAATGATCAGATGAAATTTTTCATTGCTGAAACGGAGCAGGTTTTGCAGTTTAAAAATAATATTTCGTTTTAAATTAAACATTAGAAATACTTTCACAAGATGAAATGTCCATCTCAATGCAGATGATGTACCATAACAGCAACCTGCATATCATTTTTGTGGCAGTAAGTTCAGTAAACTTTTTTCTAGACACATTTTCCTTTAGAATATTTATTCGTTTTTAACTAAGAAAATTTTTATAAGTTATATGGATTACTTTTGATAGAAATTATTTCTATTTTTATGTATATAACGATTTCTCCTGGTGAAAAGATTCGTTTTAAAATATCCGCCAAGCAACTCGACAAACTTTTTTGCACTAATATAAGATAAAGAAATTGTATTTCTTTATTTTTAAACTGTAATCTTGCTTTTTAATCTTTATTTTCGTTGATCGCCAAAACATATGTTCGATTATTTGAAAAAAACTATTTTTTCATTCTTTTTTATTTGAGGAATAATTATTTAATTCTTCCCTAAGAATTCTTTCAATTTTCGAAAAGCTTATTTTAAAACAAGTTTGTGAAAACTCAAAAAATACGTGTCGAAAATATTCACCTCACAGAGTCTCACTCGTCTCACAGAGTTGCCCATTTTTTTGGAAATTATTGAAATGTTTTTTTTTAAAAAAAGGTTAGTAATATAATCTATAAAAAGTAATTTTTAAAAATACAAATTCCCAATCCTCATATCTGTTTCTATATTTATCCCCTCTGTTATTTGGTTTATGATGATTTACATAATATTTTGTTTATTATTATTCAAAGTTAACTATTGATGCTTTTAATCTTTACTTCACATTTATCTACTGATACATTACTTTTCTACAATGGTAGAAAGTATGAAAGTTTACCTTAATAATTTTTCAATATAGTTTCATTTCCAATAGTCTTAATTTATAAATACAAAAAAAATTTCTAAAGCAAATTCCAGTCCAAACATAAAAATTAAAAAACCAAATTTGCCTCCCATCTTTCATTAGTGTATAGTATTAGTGTAATCATAAAACTGTAATCAAGGTTTCTAAGGGATACCTGAAAGCTTCATTGATTTTAAATTAATGGTATTTAATCTACCTTATTCAAATAATGTGTTGGTAAAATTTTATCATGATAGTGATTTCTTTTTTTTATTTCAGATATTTTGTGGAACCTTATAAGACTTGTCTGGTGTAGACGGAAAGAATCGTAATATTGTTTTTATGATTGAAATTAAGAAAAA